TGCGACCATTCCGACGGCTTGAGGCTCGAATGCCTCTTATGTGTTGGAGATGACTGATGGACAGAATCGTGGATATCTAAGCTAGAGTAGGCCGGCGGGGGAGTGCTTTGCCTGTCGTTCTCAGATGAAAGATCATGGGAGGCGGCGCGCTTATCGTTCTCTGAGGTGGTGGTCTCACTCTTAGGCGACGGTAACCGTGTCTCTTTAACATCGTGAAACCTTTCGTCCTCCTCGGGCGGTTCGTCTTCTAACTGGCATGCAGCCTTGGACCGGACTGGGATCGGAAGCCCGAAGTCATCTAACTCTTCTGCTACATCCGCATCCGCTTTGTTATCTCCCAGGGTTGGGCTCACTCCAGGATTCTTCCCTTCCGGCGTCTTCACTTCCGCTTCTCCATTCCTTCTGTCGTCCGTCTGATCAATATTCGGAAGAGTAGCTGCAGCGGATGACTGCGTAACCCCCGAAGCTTGAGAACCAGATTGCGGAGGGTCAGCGGAAGAGTCGACAGAATGGTCAATGGCGGTTCTTGAGGGTGAGGTCATTCTTCATGGATGTTTCGTGCTAAAGCGGTCTCGCCGGTTTCCTAGACTCGCCGAAGGTGAAGCCTCCTGTGTATTCCAACTCGAACCACGCAGTATCACCCATCCGTGCAAGAGGAGCATTCAATGCTGACAATCATTGGAGGTCGAAAAGGTCGTGTGAACAGGGAGGGACGTTCAAGGCCACGAGACCTAAGCTATTGAGGGGGCGGGAAGGTCTCAATAACAAAAGCTCTGACCTAAAAGCGAAATTAGGCAGCAGCAACAAGGGAGGGAGGAAATCAAAATCTCACACTCTTACTCCTCTCCCTGCTGTTCTGTTGTGGAGACGAACGATTGCGGAATTGTGTTAAGAGACCGACTGCGACCAGGGGGTAGTGGTTCCGTTATGGGGTGATCCGAATGTGGCAATTGGAGTGCTCATTGGAAAGTCACATCACGTGTCCATTCCAAAGCCCTCAATGCCTTCAAAATTCAAGCCTCAATAAACTCCAAATTATCCATGGCAGCAGCAGAACCCATACTGCTAAAATCAATGTAAGCCATGCTTATCAAATAGAGGGACTATATCACCTGAGATCAATCTGTGAGCAAGACTAAGAAAGAAGAGTATATCTATGGATGGCAAAGTTAGTAACTTAGTATGTCTTACTTAATGTTGAGACCTCTTCTGAATTAATGATTCTTGAAGATGAAGTTTACTATAGCTATTATACTTTACTCATACCATAAAATCTCCCTTTACATACCTCATGAATGCAGTTAATAAAGACATTAATATATAGCTGCTTAAGAAGTTAAGTGTAAAGGTATCTAATAATAGCCATATACAGATCATGCTCAGGCACCCAGGCATTACATTCTGTTAATTCCTATTTTAGAAATGGATACTAATGACCGACCTCTCCCTATCTAACTAGAAGCTATCTGATTATACTCAAGTATAGCACAAGGCATAAGACGGTTATTATAGATAACTTCTATGCCAGAGTATTAACCACACTAGATCTCATCTAAATATCATACATGACTATAAAGTGAACAGAGACGCTGTCTTAATGGGATAATAACTAGATTATCAAATTAGTTATCTCCTTTATCCCTAAAGAAACTGTAAGAACTTCTTAATGCAGATGCCCCCAATATTATCTAAAATAAAGGGCCTTAGATGGAAGCACACCTCAGAGCCTAGGTTGTATATTAAGATTATCAAGGCTAAGGAGATGTATATATATATTAGCTCTGCCACTTTGATCTGTGGTGGCTTAAATAAGAGTTAATATAACTATGAAAAGCCAGTCTGTCCAGATGAAAAGTCTTATTATAGAAGACTTATGCTCCATGAGAACAGAGTTAAAAAGTTTATAAGATTTAGTACACTTTTTCCAATGCCATGGTCATCCAATCTCTGAAGTGCAAATATGGAGTTTACTAGCAAAGTATGTCTCCTAGCAGAGGCAATCACGAGTATGCTTGGGGCATATAAGAGTGGAGTACCATGTATCCTGGAGGATGCATGCCCATACGGGACACCCTTGGCTGTATTTGAATGGAAGGGGGCATGCTCGCATTCGTCCCTCCTTGAGCCTCAAAGGGCCCCGGAAGCAGAAATGGCCCATGAGGAATGGCACAAGCTGGAGGAGAAAAGGAAGGGGAAGAAAAGGGAATATGCGCGAGAATACGGGCGAGAATACCGCGAGGAAATCAAGGCGAACAAACCGGCGAACAACGCGGCAAACCGAATCAAAGATATAGAGAGACTGAGGAAACAGTGAGCCGCCATGAGTCCATGACATATACAACGGCTAGAAGTGTGGTTCACACCAGGGTTAGTAACGCAAAGAGGGCATATCAAAAGGAAAAAACGCCTGAGGCCAAACTTAACCTTTGCGATTGCGGAAGTAGTACGATACAAGTTCTGTCAGAAAAATGGACGCAGACCTCGGCGGATTCCTTCAGCAGAATTCGTCGAATTAGCTGCATCATTTGAGAAATTCTCTTTTGACTTCTCGGACATAACAGACACCGAACAGAAAGACACGGGCCTGAAAGAAAGGAAAGTGCAAAGTACTAAGAGAGAATTACAGGAGGCACTGAACCTGCAAGACGACCATGAATGGATTGAATGCCTGCGATCTGACATGGTTAAACCATGGTGGGTAGATGCGAAGGGAAGATGTAGATGGGTGGACCGTGAATGTGAAGGGAGGATGAGGCTGTATATATAATCATGCTTAATACTTTTAATGAGCAGAGTGAACAGAGTCAAGGTCAGTGAAGGTGATGTCTCTGCTATTTACAGCAAACGATACGAGTGAACTGAGATAATAGTAAGAGAATAATAATATCTTCATATTATTCTTAACCATAAACTCGCCTTACCTTTCTTTTAGATTAAGACCTACTACTATAGATTATGGTTATATGTATTAATATAGTTCTCTTGTCAGTATTGAAAACTTCAACAGAGGAGATTGAGGAATCCTTCATCGGATACGCCATCTTTAAAAAGCATCTTACAGGCAGAAAATATTACTCTCCATCATTTTCCCTCTGGAAAAAAGTCAACAGCTCAATTCTCTTCACAATATGAGACATCTGTCTGCCCATCAACTGATACTGGAGGCTCATGCTTTCTCCATCCTGGGAGCATACTGCTGCCGCAGATACGCAGATATGTTTCACAGCCTGACATGCAAGTGCAAGAGATGATTATTATTCTAAGAAGGCCGCTAGTAGGTAGAAACTACTGCTGAGGTCCTTTTGAACCCCTACCCATCGCTGCAGACTATGCAAGTTGTTGCCTCCCTGCTGTGTTGACCCTACTGTCAGTATCCCTACTAGCTGGATATCGTTGTCTACGCACCTTTATGGCTGAGGGCTTTGATATATGACACAGTTATTCGTCGAAGTTCAACTACCAGAACATCAAATTCCAAGTATCCGGTCATACATCGAAACAAGGTTGAATAATTGAGCACAAGAACGCCACGCAACCAAGCCAACTACCCCGAATAGCTAGTCACCTAACCCCAGCAGGATCCCTTGTCTTATCCACCCTGATACAGCATCAATCAGCAACTGCTCAACCACATGCCCCAATCAATCTCGCACCAGCAAAGCCGAAAGATCAGGAAGTGAACTCACATCCTTCCCGTAGGAGGAACATCAACCGCCACTTTGGTCGTGCTACCCTTATCAAACACCGCCTCAGAGGGATATTTGCTCTTGTCAAACTGTGCGCCAGTCGTGTTCTGGTCAGGGTCATTGAGGGCCTCGTTGATGCTATCGTTCTGGCGCCTGGCTTTGTCTAGGAGAGCCTCTGGGGACGAGCCCGCTTAGTGGTTGTCCTTGGATATAGGAGGGGGAACTCACGCGTAGAGGGTTCTTTGCGGGATAGATCAGACATATTTGGTCTCTTCGTGTAATACTCAGCGTATTTGTGCGATGCTTACATTAGTACCTCTCGAGAAATATATGTAGACTACATTATCGACATCTTTGGCATCGTGATCAGAGAGCGGCGAAAGGCAGTGAGGGTTTACGCCATTACACGTCATAAGAGAAAATCAGATAGCAAGAATACAACTTATGCAGTAATCATGAATCAATTGATCAAAGTATATCTAATCAGATCAGTGCATTTGCCTTCGACTGCTATTTTCATCCTGCTATGCTAATTCGCACTGCTGGCCGTAATTGGAACGGACTACGGAGTAAGAGAGCAGGGTATACAACAAACTCTCACCTAACAACCACTATGCCTCTAATATATTCTGCAAAGGCCTTGTCTACTTCGGAATCGAATATAATGCCGGAGTCGGCCTCTGGAGATATATGGAAGAAATTAGCCCACCAATCTGGATGCTCTGACATCTTCAATGGCACCCACAGGGCCCCTAAGGATCTAAGCGAGGGGCGCTATACTCCAAAGACGGCACTATTCCAAAGTCCGAAGGGTCTAATTTCGCTTCATCCCCAACAAAGACCAATGACGGCTGGCAGCTCCACGATGTTTGGAATGGGTCTCAATAGTGATTTGCTGATCTCTTACCTCAGATATTCCGGGGTGGGTGTTCCATGACATGCTAAAATCGGATACAACTCCATACCGGAGGTTCCGAGTTCACCGATGCTCCGTGAGGGTCGACTGAGATGGAATAAATTTCCGTACCGAAGTTACGCCTGCGTAGGGTTCTTATTCAATATCTACCTTAGTCTGCCTACGTTTCACTTGTCTTCGTTTCTTCTTTAAAGTGATTGTCTGGATTCCCCTCTACGAGGGTCGGTGGAGTGATGGCTCCGTCATAAATAACTATATGGACAGCCTGGCCTTCTAATGAGATGGCTAACAAGAGGTATGGATGGCGTCGATCAGGACGGCGACGTCAGAATGCCTTTTGACTTGACGAGACACGCACTGCATGGCAGAGTTCAGACCAAAAGAATGCAACCGAATCATCAAAAGCCAGGTAAAGTGGGTGCCCCAAATATACTCCCATCTGGAAGCCAGCCGTCCAATTCCATCCCCGTGCTACGATGTAATGGCGGTTGATTTTGGTTACTCTCCGAAGGTAAGCTTGGCTGCTGTGCCACGTACCCATACTGAGATTGCGGAATGGGCGGCTGATATTGCGGATACTGGTAGCTGACAGATGTGGGCGCATAATTTTGGTCGACATGCCACATTTGGTTCATGGCCACTGGAGCTCCATAGGCACCACCCATGTTGGAATATGGAGGACGTTGCGGGACGCCTGCATCCACGACGAGTGACTCTGTAGAACAGTTTGGGTTCATGGGACAGGGGTGCTGAAGAGTATGGGCTGGCACTTGCATCTGAATCGATTGGCCCGCCTCCATTTGAGACGCAAAGCCACTTTCCCGCTGGGCTTGCCGCTGCTGCAACCGATCATACCAGTTTCGAGCTTTGACGGCCAGAACATAATACCATCGGCTGGGGATCTTGTACGTCTGGCCACCGCTCGCCTCGGTGAGTCTCCTTGCGATTGCGTCCAGGTACATCTCAACCTTGACGGACTCCGGCGTCACAAATTCTCCCAAACCGCCTGATATTACAGTGAAGTATATCTTCAAAAGAGACATCAACGCCACTCCCACACGTGTGTATGTCAAGTTCGGAAGCTTTCGCGTGAGTTCATTGTCGCAACTGAGGAAGAAATTGAGCATCTCGTGAGCTGTATGCATCCACTTGATCGTTATATCTACGCGGATGGCGCTGAGAGGGTTACTAGCGCGTTGATTTCGGCGGTCACCTTCCGGCTTCGGAAGCGTATAATATTCCTGCTTGATCGCATCAGGATCTCGGTAGCCTTCTCCGATTGCCAGTTCATATACGGCAAGGTTGGTGTAATGGTACTCGAAGGTCATTGGCACTGAAGGGGGGCAAGAGTGAGCTAGCTTCTTCCAATACATTGCCGGGAGAAAGTGTACCTGTGAGCATGTCCGCTGGTGTATTCTTCTTCCAATTCAGCATTCGATTGTCAAACCACCTCAATACAGCCTGAACGCGAGATTCTGTCAACGGCGCGGTGGAACTTGTGTCATCGAGGCCGAAGGAAGCCATAGCCTCATCAACGATTCTCTGGAGTTCGAACCAGGTGGCCATATGTCGATCTATGGCATTTGGCGATTTTTCTAGGTGTTTCACACATTCACTCATCCAATCGTTGAACAAGAGCAGATTCGGTCGACGAGTCTTCATTGCGACACTGTTTCAAATGATCAGCAGCTTGCCTCTCCGCCGGGCGCTTTTCGATCCTTACGTAGAAGCCAAATGATAACACTCCAAGATCGCTCTGGCTTGTTCCGCCATCTGTTCGTCATACGCATTCCGCTTGTCTTTCTTCCCGCTTGCTTTTGGAGATACTCTACGCTTAGAGGCCAAACCAATTTCCAAAGCCATGGTAGCTGCAATGTGCGTGTACTGAAAGTGCTGCAATTTCATTGGCGAGTCGGGCGGATAGTAGAAGACCGTCATGAGCACCAATGCCTGGACTAGCTCTAAGGATTTCTCGCCCTGAATGAAGAATCGTTCAGCATAGAGCCGAACGAGTTCTCGATTAAGAACGGCCGCGACGGTTGCATCTACGGCAATAGCGGCAGCGGCAATGATGGAAAGAAAGAGTACGGGCTTAGAATGACGCAGGTGCGATGCGGTAGTCTCAGGAGGCAGCACGACAACGGGAGCGAAGGCCATTAAATCTCTGATGAAGAATGCCACCAGCTCATTGGCGTATTCCAAGGGAATCACACCCCGGTCGATAACGTCATCTCCTATTGGCATTTCAGGGGAGTATCCGCTGAACCCAGGGGTGAAGGAGGGGATGGAGACCGAGCTGCTCTCGACAACGTTGGAATATGAAGACAGTGGAACACCACCATACGACTGGTCCGTATACCTGGTTGATGTTGAGACACTGCTGGGTGCCTCGGGGATTGAAGATAGGTGATCTTTGGATTCGATGCCCGAATCATGTTCCGGTGATTCGCCGTGCTCGCTATCCACGCTTTCTCCACTGCTGTCGTCCGCATGCAAACGGTCCTTCAATAGCGAACGCATCTGCCGCATTTCCCTCTCCAATTGAGCAACTCTGGAATCAGTTCGCTTTCGTGGCCGCCGCCTTTGGGGTGCGACAAAGATACAGACCCTTCCGGTCTTTGTGCACCGCTGGCATTGGTTCGCTGTGGTTGGATCAGGAATACAACGGACTTTGAGGCCTCTGCATGATTCGCAGGAACGATTCAATTGCTGCGACGGGGCGGTTTGCTGCGAATGACCACCATCCGTGGGCATCACCTCGGAGCTAGCTGACATTGTCCCCTGAATTCACCGCCGTGGATGTACCAGAAGGTAGAATTCAAGTCAGACTACCAGAAACTGTAGTGAATGAGAAAACGAGACCACCAGATACAAGAATTGATAGAGGCCGCTGACAATGAGCTCGGGTCAGTCAGGTCGAACCCCATATCTAGACCAATGTATTCGTACTGATAGTGGACAAGCAAGCGTGGCACACAAAACGAACCACACGCAATTCAACTCAATGAGAACGCCTTGATCCTTACGCCAAATATGGCATGACGAAATATGATTTTGGATCTGTATTCGAAGAATGGATCGAGTAAAGAAATTAGTCAGACTCCGGACGTCCCTGAATGCTTCTGTTTCAAGCGCCCAGAAAGAACTTTTGAGTTCAATTCGACGCACAATGACGGAAAAAATCCAATTGGTTGCTTTCTCCGTTCGCAGGTCATCTTGGAGGAGAAATCCTGCCCATTAAGGACGGACCAAAGAGACAGCAAGCCTCAATCATGTGAGTGAGACTTCAGCCACAGGCCTGGAAGTTAGGTAGTTTGGCGAATTCTCCTTTTCTCTGATTTATCAATCTAAATTTGACTAAGGTAGGTATGATGGGTTGGTTACTAGTAACGTGCCCGCTCTGACCGGCATCTCACTTTGGGGTTTGGTGCTGCCGCGCCTGGATGGCTCAGAAGTGGGGATTGCCTAGGCAATCAAGACCTTGAAACTTTTCGAACGTTGGAACTTGATCTGTATCCAACGATCTGAGATTAAGAATAAGCTTCTTGAAAAGTATTAAAAGCGTGATTAAATAAGGGACAGTTGAGATCTGCAGTCCACTTGCTTGCAGGAACCTTCTCAGTTATGCCTATGTAGTTGTAGACTTGCTCTTCTACCTTTGTTATTGAGATGGACACATCCCAAGGTTCTCTCTAAGAACGCATGGAAAAAACGGGCAAGGAAGACCCTTGCCATGCCAAAAACCTGACGAATCAATACTTCTTGTCTCCCCGCAACGGTCAATCTAAACCTTCTATGTGGCCAATCAATAACTTACTAATTTAGACGGGCCCACATCAATGCGATCACCGTATCTAGTAAGTACTCCCCAAAATTCGAATGGACGGATGAGATTATCCCTGCTTGGACGACTTCTCCCCAGGATTCATGATAAACCAATGCATGCTAGTGATTTACGTACTCATTCGCAAGTAAGGGGGCTTAACGATGTCCTTGAATGCATCAGTGTCCCAATGAAACACTTCAGGCCGTATAAAATGTGCAACGGCGGCAATTTCGAACGACCTTTAGGCAGAAACAGAATCTTCTTAACTTTGGATGTGATTGGAGTGTGAGCACAAAGCGTTATTCATCTATTGCAGGAGTTAGAGACTCGACTGCAAGTATCGAAGTTCAGCTTCTCCATGTGGCCATGACAGTGCTTAGGAGCGGGAGCTTCCCGGAGATGGGTTGACGCGTCTGCTTATCTGTGCACCACCAGAACTTCAGACTAAGTAGTCCAAAAGGTTCTCTGTAGCCTTATCAGCGGTTACCAATGTAAATAGTTTGCATACTACGAATGTCGGACGTGTCATGAGAGATGACTGGGATACGGAGACAAGCGTACGAACTCAGGTTGCCGTATGACAGAACTCAGGTTCCGTCTGAGTTTAATTGGAAAATGAACCCGACATGGCTATGTTACTTCATGAAATTCGGGCCTGTCATAGAATTGCCGACCTTTTTATAGAGGTCTATAAAAGATGCCTGTCATTTTGCTTTGAAACTGTGCTGGCAAACATATATTTGATTTCTCTTCCAAAGGTTTTAGTACCAATACTATGCAAGCGGGTGTCAGTGAAGTAGTCCAGACCGTTAGGTCTACCACCGCTACTATCGGAGTAGGCTCCGTGGACGAGCACGAAACGCAAAGTATTGCTACAGGCTTGTGATGAATTGAGGATTACTTATGGAACACCATTAGAGACCTCTTCAGGATCCTAGTGTCTGTGAATTCTCAAGTATCCTGTATCTCGGAAAGGAAGCTGATGTAGGTCAGAGCGACCAAGCAATGACCTTTCGCTTGGATGTTGACATGAAGCTGTTCGGAGCTGTCGCTAAACTGTCATCTGAAGACGATGACAGCCATTCCAACGTGGATCAGCTTGCAGCTGTTCTAGTCCGTATGTGATATTCAGCAGTATTTGTTAGCCTTTGGTGGGCATATTTGATATTTGGCAGCACGTGTCATCAGACTTCTAGCTGCCATGGATGTATTCAAGCAGGTTAACGCTGGACTGTTCCGCTGGCAACAGTCTAGGAGTCGGATTCTTCTTCTGTCAGCTGAAGTTATACACATGTAAGCGCAGTCGCATGGATTAAATCTGGAATAACCTCTGATAATGGTCATAACACGCATTGTCAGATGATTCTTTTCAGATTGCATGACAAATTGAAGGAGAAAGGCTGGAGACCCTCTGCTGAGAGTGATGATGGCCTTTTTCGATTCTTCACGGACACCAGAGTTATGATATTTTGAGCACTCGCTAAGCGCACCATACTACCAAGAACCATGACGCTTTTTGTTCGCCGGTGGGGCCACAGTTAGTTTGAGTTCTTCCCAGTTGAACAGAAATTGCGGGTGCCTGATGTCCTCCTGGTCGACGGAGGCGGTGCCCAGGGAAGAGACCTTATTCAGAGAATGATTTCCCACGCTTCCGGGAAAGCTTGTCCTGCAAGATTTGCCCAATGTCGTCAAAGTAAGTAACCAAAGATCTACATCCGGGAATCCACATCGAAGAGCATGATCTCCCCGAGATCAACCTGCCAAGGGCGCAATGGCATACGGACTGGATGACCGGCCAGACAAGCAAGTCGTGCAGATATTGGCCAAACTCCGCGAAGCTATGACACAGGACTCGCTCCTGCTTATTGACCAGAATCTAGAGTTTGACAGCAACGTGCCCTTGCTGCCTGCGGTGCTCGACCTCAGCATGTTGGTCTCGTTCGCAGCCGCAGAACGGCCAAAGACGCGATTCAGAGCGTTGCTGAACAAAGCAGGTTTTGAATCAGTCAAGGCTAGGATGCCGCCCGGAGCTGTCACAGACAACGTTATTGGAGGCTAGAATTAGGCTAGAGTCAGGCTAAAGGCTTGATTCGCGTCCTTTGCATGATGATTCAATCCTACAAGTAATGTGTGACTGGCGCACCAGCCACAGAGAAACACAAAAAGCCCCCCAGCGGTGGAATTGTTCTCTTGTGATGGTCAGAAAGCTCTTTTTGTGGCTTAATCTCGGTTGTCTGGATCTTTTCTCCTTTCAAATTAGTTGTGGACCTGGTGATGCCTTGTGCTCCACAGGCACAGGCAGAACCATTCTTTTTCTTCAGCACAAGATATTCGAGTCCAATCATGATGAAATATTTGTGCACCCCCTTAGGAACCCAAAATCATAACATAGTCACTCTGAGAACACAGAATCAAAGACAAAATAGAAGACTAATGTCGAATTCGAAAATAACACGAAATGCAACCCACTATGTCGACAATACTAGCAAGATTCTGCGCTTGGTCCAAGGCGGACCAGATATGGACCGAGCGACATGTATGACGCGGCCCCCGTTCGATTTGCCGCGTTCCAACCAAAACATCGAATCGGATCGCGAATCGCATAGAAATTAGTCCACTATGCATTGCATTTTGGAATGAATTGCCGTGTATTACTAGTACGGATGATACGAACAGTAGGCTACATATTGCGCGATTCTAGCCATGATGTCCAATTGCTGGATTCCCCTGAGGAACATACGTAAGCCTGTGCCAGAGGTTACGCCGGATTGTGCGTTGGAAGAATAGGAGTAAAAAGCAGGCAGGATGTGGCTGTAATAGCGTAACGTGCTACTGAGTTGTGCTGTGGTTAGAACACTAGGTATGGTCCAAGCATAGGGAGGTAGAACGGGTACAGAGTACGGAGTAGAACAAAATTATCAACAGTCCTTTGAGATACCCGTTCATAAGTTATGACAATCACATTGACCTCACCTAAAAAGGTCTCAGATTTCAAGGTCAACCGCCATCGAATGATCGATTGGCCTTGCCTCCTGCCAAGGCGCGGCAGGGCTGGCACTTGGCAAGTTGGAACTAGGAAGAGCAGAAAGACTAGCCTAGAATTGTATCGATTAACAGCCCTTGGAATTCTTATGGAGACCGTCACCACATCAATTAATAGAAACTGGGCCTTGAATTCTGTGGTAAGTGGGCACGCGACTGGTGCAAGATGGACGACGTAAGACCCAGGTAGATATACTTTAAGATTTGAAGTTTTAAATTACTCGGCATAGAAGTCAAGTATGTGCAGATTCCTCGAAATCTCTCAACTTTCCAACTAGATTGAGATAATAGACTACCTATCTCCATCGCTATTGGCACTGTCGATCCCGGATTCTTTTGCACGTCCCATCCTTCTTATCATCACTTCTTATTTTCTGATGCGCTCCTTTCTGTAATAGTCTGTACTATTTTAACCACGCTGTTCGAGACTCAGGCGATCCATATCCGTTTCCTACCTCACCTCCCTCCTGATATCAATCCCCGACGCAGTCGTCATTGTCGACTATCTACATTTCCGCCCTTTTCCGTATCAACAGTGCAACACCATCATCGACTGAAATTATTTGTTCCACACTATCCCTGTACATCGCCTAGGAGTATGCTGTCCTTCAGGGATTAAATCCGAATCAGACGCCCCATCATCCCTACATGCGCAATGCATCTATTCTCAACAACTTTCCTTCTCTATCTCCATGGATTACTTCTCGCGCTGGTGGCTTTGGGTAGCGCCGGCTCCGATGTCGATTTCATGAGTGTTAGAGCCAAGTTTCTCAAGGATTACAGTGGGACAGGAGGTGAACCAGGAAAGAAATATTTCAGTAAGTGACCCTTCATAACGTCTTTCGAGGTGCTTGCTTTTTTCCCAGCTGGATACGTATATATCTCTTTCTTTGGCATAGCGCTAACGCATTATTAGAGGAATCTAAGTATGTCTTGAAATTGCACACTATTCTGTTCTCCAAAATTGCTGACTGACCTCGCAGCTTCCATTATCACTATGACGGACGGTGAGCTAGTCTCCAGTCCTCCGACTTGAACGCTTGTCTGACAGTCCCACAGATTCGCCGATGAAGCCCTCCCTGAGGAAGACACAATACCACATTTAGCAGCACTCATCCAGACATATCTGTCGACTATGGCAGATCTTGGTGCAGAGACTTGGATAATGCATGGAACTCTTCTGGCATGGTGGTGGAACCAGAAGGTTGGGACCCCGGTGCCATGGTTTATAAACAGGCAACGTGGGAACATAACGCTAACTCGCGCCCAGATTTTCCCATGGGACAACGACCTCGACGTCCAGGTGACCGAGCCGACAATACACTTCCTTGCTGAATATTACAACATGACCGAGCATCATTTCGAACTTCCGGGAGTGGACGGCGGCCGGAACTACCTTCTCGAAATTAACCCGCAATATGTGGTTCGAACCACTGAGGACGCAGCGAACGTTATTGACGCGAGATGGATCGACACCTCTTCAGGGCTTTTCATTGATATAACTGCAGTGCGCACGGATGACGAATTGAGAAAGAAGGGCCAGCAAGGCGCTCTTATGTGCAAGGATGGCCACAGATTCGATGTGAGTGGCTGCGGTACAAGGGTAACACGAGATGGATTGCTTACCGCTTTCTAGGAGACCGATATCTTCCCACTTCGGAATAGTTACTTTGAAGACTTTCCTGTCAAAGTCCCCTACAAGTACACTGATCTCCTTGTGGAAGAATATGGCTCCAAGGCATTGACTACTGTTGACTTTCAGGGGTGCGTACATGAAGCTTCGCTGTTGGTTCCTTAACTGACTTGCCGTTTAGTCACCATTTCAACGAGGAGACCAAGATCTGGGAACAAACTAAGTTAGTACTAATCCTGACTAGGCCGTCCGATATAGCTCGCTAATATCTCAATTGCCAGAGAGAAACGAGGACTTTCACGCCAGCGAAGATCCATCACTCTCCCCAAGCGAACCACGCCGCTTCCCTATCGTTTAAAATGAGCTCACCGAAAGCTCGAAAACGAACATACTAACTCGCAATCATGTATTTCATTTCCACTTGGTTTACGATAACGACCACTCTATCCCTCCGTTTTCACATCTCCCGGTTGCATAATCTGGCGTTCCATTTCTCTTCGAAAGACATTCGGTACACAATTCTGTGCTTTTGCATTATATGCACCATACCCTGGTTGAATTTTTTTTGGCTTGACACTCGCACTGACGCCCCTTGAAAGTTGTCCATGAGCATTTCTTTCTCGAGCCATTACCATCTTCATGGGACGCAGTCGATATCATTGAATCTTCTTAATGTGTATAACATTTAACGGCATGTTATGTATATATTGGCTGTATATATGAGACAATATAGAGCACGCGACATTTGAATATCGCTGTGGTAGTATCCGACATCGCAGACCTCACATGAGAAGCAAGATCAGATACGACGAGAGGTTACCGGAAGGATTGACACGACTGAAATTCGTTCCGCTGAACCTAATTCTTGAAGGACGAGAATATCATTGCCGGAAGAAAATAGACATTCGGTATTTTCCGAAAGATCGTCCAGTCTAGTCACGGTGACTCATAAGTTCATGGCGTCGAAGCTCAGATACCCTGAAATTTTCTAACACGTGCCCGGAAGTTGCCATGGTGGCAGCAGCTGATTTGCGTAACGTGTCCGAATGTCCATGGGAAGTCATCTGATAACTTTGCAGCGATGACTGTGCTAATCCTTGTTTCCTTTTATCTGATCCGATGGCAGTGCAGTTTTGAGTTTCGTATAGGTATCGAATGCACCTCGCTTTGATTGTGAGTGGGCTTGACTGTGACGTCAGTGTATCAGAATGCTTTAGAGCTATCTCAGGCATCAACATTGCTACGCAATAAAGCAATAGTAAACTTTTTTGGGGCCCAGGTGGACAGGCTCGTATCTTTCTTTCAGATACACCCAATTATCCTTTAAGGGGTCCACGGGCTGTCGAAAGATGTCTTACATGCATCGGTATTAATAATGCTACAAGGTTGGCAGCCACTGACAGGCCCAGGAACCATCGATGAGGGGCCTGGACTACGCCTCAGGCCGCCAATAACCAACCATCGTCTGTCCCCACTATGAGTCGATGACCGAAGATCCAACTTAAAAGAAAAAGCCCAATACCTAAGGAGATTTATTATGACAATGAGGGCTCAGAATCGCGATCAAGTTTTCGCCTATGATTTGCTTTACTCAGTCTCTATATTCTCAATATCCGGATAAGCATCCATTCTCCGCACTGCTGGGAATGTAGCACGGATCTCAGCCATTCTCCATCATCCGTCATGTCATTCCCGCCCATCGAATCCATTTCATCTGCAAATCAGCCTCTCTCATCTCGGTCTTCGCCGAGTAACCCCTTTGGATATACTAAAAGCCCTTCAGTCGACCATGCAGCCAACCCTGGTACTCACACCGCGCATGACCCTCCCAGCATCCGCAGCTGTGTGACTTGTCGAAGAAGAAAAGTCCGCTGTAATAAGAGGACCCCGTGTTCCAATTGTGTCAAAGCAGGTATCGAATGTGTCTTTCCTCCACCTGGAAGGGCCCCTCGCAAGTCGAAACGACCTCATGATGCGGAGCTCTTGTCCCGTTTGAGACGGCTTGAGGGAGTCATTGAGCATCTCAGCGGGAAGAAGCCTGGGGCTGTGGAACCATTGTCCACCGTATCTTCGCCCTCGCAACAAGAACCTGGACCCGCGTCTCCCCAAGAAGGTAGGCAGACGACACCTCAGATGCAGAGTGCCCAGGCCGGGAAATGCCCGTTCGTTCTAGACTCCGATCCGCAGGCTGCTAAGCCACGAAACCTGGAACATGAGTTTGGACGGCTAGTCATCGACGAGGGACGCAGTCGATATGTTAGCAACCGGTTGTGGGCGAGTCTGGGCGATCAGGTGAGTATTTTTGCCTCAATCCACAATCTTTTGTGCTAACGCTTGTGGCAACAGATAGAGGAGCTGCAAGATATCTTGGACCCTTCATCGTC